GCTGTCAGGGAGGGGGTGAAGCTTGCACTGGGGCAGGGGCAGGCATTGCACAGCTGGGGCAGGGACATGGGGGGGAGGATGACTCCCATTGCTGCATGCACCCTGGGAGGGTGTGGGGGGCATATGCCCCCTAGATCTGAGCATGGAACGAAAGCAGGCTACCTATGTGGGCTAGGGCCAGTGCTGAGCTCTTCCCAGCAGAGAGCTGGGCTGGGCTGTGCTTGGGGCAGGTGGCAGCAGCAGCACTGGCAGGGGGGGTTCATGGGGGGAGGAGAGCTACAGCCACCCCAAAATTTGTTGTAGCTCCCACTCCAAGTGCTGCCGCCACCCGCCCCAGCAAAGCCCAGCCCCACCACTGGGAAGAGCCTGGCACCAGCCCCAACTCACAGCGGCAGCCTACCCTCACCCAGCATACAGATTTGGGGAGCACACCCCCCCCATGGTGCAGGCAGCAGTGGGAGCCACCCCCCGGACAAACTGCAGCTCCGCCTCATACCCAGCCGAGCAGTACCTGCCCTTGCCCCGCTCCCTCCCTCACTGCAGGGTCCTTGGTCTGCTGCCCCCTCCCCCAACGGACTTACCAGCCAGATGCTGCTCTCCAAGCTGCCAGGCTAAATTCCTGGTTGTGTACATGCTGCGGCTACATGCATACACACAATATTTATTGGCAACATTATTGGCCACATCCACCAAAAAAGCTGATTGCTGATAATGTCAATTTTCTTTATATGGTGCTGATACGATATGGGTCCAATGTATCACTGCACCTCTAGTTTTGATGTTTTATTTTTTTTTAAAAGAATGGGAAGGGTTATTACTTTCGTGTTTAAAAAACAGACTCACTCCAGATCAAGCAGAAGGTAATAAGCACATTATTGTGGCAATGCATGTGGTCTGGCTGCAATGCCTTATGGATGTAGGGAAGTAGCGCTCTGATGAACAATCTTGGGACCTTTAAGGGGAAGCACCAAGCAGGCAAAAGGGCATCCACACTGTTGTTCCAGACTCTCTCAGGCAACACAGGGCTGATGGGAGAATAAGTTCATGTTCACATCTCATATTTGTGAGTTCAAATTCCTCCATATAAAGTGTGAATAAAATCTCTGATAACACCTGGAGCTAAACAGAATTATACTTGCAAGTCTTCACTGCTACAAGTTTACTATAACTCCATGCTGCTCCACAACTTCAGGTCAAACCGGTTCAATCTTCCAGCACATCGCAATAAGCCAAAAGCTCTAGATACTTTGCTGTGAAAGTCCTATAAACACTTGGATGGATCACTTTTCCAAGACTCTGTTTGAGAGAATCATGTTCGAGAGTAACCAAGAGATGCCTGTAGGACAGAATAAGGATGAGAGAGGCTACCCCCTCATTAAAGCGCTGTGTGCGCTTTCTGCTGGTGTTTTCCAGCAAAAGCAGAGTTGTGCAGTGCAGGTTTAATTCTAAGCTGAGACAAAACAGCTGCTACTCGGTTTGTTTGCTCATCTGGATTCTGAAGTGGTAGCACTTGCACTGTTTCCTGGTTATTTACATAATTAAATATTTTGAGATGCATGTAGTGGGTATGCCAGGAGGGCAGAGCAGTCCATGAGACCTTTCTTATGAGGTATATATATAAGAAAAAGAAGAGGACACTTGCTCAACTAGCAGATTTACCAGGCTTCAGAATGATTTACACTACATTGCCTCTGACTGCTGAGTCTGCAGAGTTGAGACCAAAGTGTGGGAGGGGGAGGAAGGAAACAGGTCAAGAGGACACAGGAAAGGACTGCAGAATCCAAGTTACTTTCATTCTCTGACCCTTTGTAGTGCTGGCCCACTAAAAATCAGCTCATACCAAACTGCTCAAGCTAGCATTGAGTCCTGCATTAGCACAGCAGTACCTGCAAAGAATATCTGAGAGCCAGCTGCAGCTTATGGGGTTATCACACATCCGGCACCGTGCAAGTTCCAAATAAATTCAGGTCACTTCAGGGAGAATCCAAATCCAGACAAATATCACACACCCCATCCAGTGACTAAAAAAAAAAAATCACATAAATGAAAGCACATGTCCACTGGTAACGAGGCACTTGGTGTCAGGCAGGCCAGCCTTCCTGTATCAGTCTGCTAGGAGATAAAATCTCCTATAATGTTAGAATTTCCACCTTCTACACAATAGGACAGCCACACAAGGGTTTTTTTTCCCCCAACATCGGTCTTGATATAATTTATTATAGATTCCTCCTTATTCAGAACAAATGTTAAACCAAAACAGTAATTTAAAAACTCTGCTTTACAAAATTCTTACATACCCCTTTGTATAGCTGCATTGGCAGAAATTCATTTTGCATGTTGCACAGAGAAATTGTAACTGAAAAAGAAATTTTATGTTGTACAGAAGTCTTTTCTGCTGGGGACAATCCTGGATACTAGCCAGAGAATCTGCTGTGTCACAGACACTTTCTTCTTGACGCGAGGGGAAAGCAGGAGAGGAAAAGGTGCCTATAAATTTTTAAACAATTATCGAAGTATCATACAAATGCAATAAAAGAATAACATGTGCCTCTAGGAAGGAAGCTTAATTCCAGTTTAACACTGTACTGCCTAGGAACACTTGCAGATCTGTCCCAGAGTCAATACAAATAATGTTAGGTAAAATTTCTAGGGGATAGAGCTATCGAAACAGCCTGGAGATACTACACAAGCTATAATTTATCCTACCAAAATTTGAGTAGGTGAGCAGGCTCTCCTTTGACTTGTGTGACAAATATTATCGCTGGCTCCTAATCATATGCACACTCTTTTGTTCTTTTCTCTTTGGCATACATCAATATTTTCTTTCTGTTTGTTCCTAAACAGAGGAGATTTAGGTACAAACATTTTTAGAGCTGAACTGTGTCATACATTAAGGTTACCAACCGAGCTGAGCAGAGGAAAAAGGAACTGCATATAACTATACACAATTCTTCCACACTGCACAGTTAGAGGACTCGGGCAAACATTCATTGTCTTGACATTCAGCAAAGGCCACACAGAAAACTATGATAAAACATGTTTAAATATAAATCCTTTAAAACAAAGAGGCCAAACACTATGTAAGAGGTTGCTTGAGGTCGAACAAACCGGTCCCTCCTTTGACAACTTTTCCAACCACAAGGCAAGCAGAAGGAGATCTCAGTTCATCGTGGGCACCTAAATTAGAATTCAACACAAATCAGATTAGGACAGGTCCAACAGAAGTTTCTATTTAAAAAGAAGATGCTAATAAGCTACATATTTACTTTGCTTAAAGCACAAGAACCAGGTCAGACATGGCACCTCACAAAGACAATGCCACCTGCTGTTCAAATTAAATGCGTCACAGACTGCAGGTTTCATTCTCTTTGGACTTCGCCTTTGTTACAGCAGGACTTAACTGTCTCCAGTGAAGGGACTCCTGGAGTCAGAATACCACTAGCGAAGGTATACCGGCCCAGAGTTTTTATAATCAGTTTAAAACCACCCCCTTTGCAACCAGCATCAAAAGATAATCCACATAGGATTCTTAAAGTGAGCATTAGTTCAGGCTTCCTACAAGAGAATTTTTATTTTATTTTTTTTTAAAGGAAGGACAGAAGCCAGATAAAAATAGAAGCACCTTCCTATGAAGACCCTTCTCTTTTGGAGAAAGGATCCAGTTGAGGTGGATCTTTCATTTCTTGGCTAGATTTGAAAAGCACTTTTCACAGGAAAGACATCAAATGCCTTTGATTTGGTGGCTCTATCATAGCAGAACAGTGCCACATAAGTCTAAGTTCTCCACGATTACACACCAGACCATCGTTTTGCTTTCATTAATTATATTTCTTTTTGGCTTTACAGGCAAGCAGGCAGGCTGTTCTTCGTCCACACTTCATTTGACAAGCTGAATTCTGTGATAACTAATGTTCACTGCTGTTCCTATGGATGCATACAAAATGTGTTTGAGCTTGCAGTAAACTCTGGTACATCTTTCATTCTATAAGAAAGAAAGAGTTACATGAAATACATGTAACTTTCTATATTTAGTTGAGGAATACTGAAAGTGCTAGGAGCAGTGCATGATGCCTGGTGTTGTGATCTCATCGACATCTGTACAAGAGCTGCCTCTGATATTTATCAGTGAAAAATAATGACCCTTTGTTAGATTATTATGCGAGACGGTCATAACCATTCTGTTGGCTCACGTGATGCTAACAAAGCAGAGCTGTTCTTCAAGCAATTGTTTGCACAGACCTAATTCTAAAGTGCATGTGCTCTGTGCATTCAGAATTGGATTCTTTTGGCCAACTATGTCTGTTGAAACCACACCCATGTCCTAGATGTCTCTGTGCCAACCCTACTGAGGGCATAAAGGGTACAGCAGGCTTGGAAGTCACTCAGGTCCTTCCAAGTACCCATGACAGTGAGATGGCACCTCTGCAGCATCTGCTTATGCCATACGCTGTGCAGTCTTCTTGGATTTCACCCAATTTCATTAAGAGATTGTCCAGCTCTCAGCTGCATTAAAACAAATTAGATTTAGAAACCACGAATCCACATTATGGTTCCAATTTTGTTCTTGATGCTGCTGCTAAGTCTCTTTACTTCTCGTAAGTCCTAACCACCGTAGAGCTTTTTAAATGATCCCTAGTGCCCTTTTGCCTCTCAACATTTCCTGTCTTTACACAGGTAACACCATGAATAAACAAGATTAAAGTTTCCCTTGGCAGGAACCTTGACTTCTTTCTGAATCCAACTGTGATGCAATGTAAATGCAGACTCTTTATTCAATTTAATCCCCTTTTGTGAACATTTAGCCCTTTTACAGGTTCACGGTAGAGAGGCAACTGTTAAGTGGCAGCAGCACTTTGAATGATCTTTTTTGCCAGTGTATTGTTGCTTTCCAAGCTGAATTTTTTTTTTCAATGTCAGGAACATTTGTGCTAGGACAGAAGGCAATTAAGTCTGTGGCTAAAGAAATTGAGTTGGGGAGTTTCTTCTGTTCACCTGGGGTAGCATGGAAAACAGCACAGAAGAGCCTGAGAGAGGAGCTGACTGACATGTGTTGAATGCTGGCAAAATGAAAGTCTGACTAAGAGCAATGAGACAGATCAGCTACACAGGAGGGATCAAACTCCTAAGGGGCTTAACCAGATATCTCAACATGCAGCTTATGTCTGTAGCCGTGAATGAAAAAAAATGGTGAAGAGGTGCACAAACAAAACCATCCCAAGCAAATTCTGAAATTATCTGAATGTAGGACTACTGCAATCCAGGTCAAAGGGGAGGAGATTACAATACAGATATGTGAGAAAGGTCCGGATGAGAAGTTTAACGCTGTGTACAGCCAAGATGAAATACTTGATCTTCAATTGAGTATACAGGAAACTTATCTGGTCCCCCCAAAATTCCACAGACTTCATAAAATATATCATGTGGACGTTGGCTTGATTTCAGCTGACAAAGCCCTATTAGGGCTAGACATCCCAATTTACCTGGAGCCTTTTAAGGCAGCAGATAGGATAATTATGCACCTTACAGACAAACCAAAGTATATTTATAGCTATAGTATAGTAGATAGATATCTATATACATCTATCTATCTATCCAGGGTAGACAGAGATATATAAATAGATACCTAGATGCATAGAATCAAAGTAGGGCAAGAAGGGACCTACAGAGGTCATCTAGCTCAACTTGCTGCCAGAGGCAGGATCATCCCTATCAAAGCCAAGCCATAAAAATCATCATTTAAATTCTACATAAGACTACCATCAACCCTGGCACAACACAGACCTAACACTCTAACCGGCCACAGGTAAAGCAGGGGAACCACGGCAGCCAACATCCTGCTTCTATGAAATGCTGTCAATATATGCTCGAGATGCTGGGTAGACGGCTACGTTCCTAATACAAAGGAGGGCAAAAACCCTCAGTCTGTACCAGTCTGACCACGGGATAAAATTCATTCCTGACCCCAATACAGCAATTGGTCTAACCCTGAGTAGAGGGGCAGGTCTCTCGAACCAAGAGCCTCCGATTCATTGGTCCCAGCAGAGATATTGGTGCACCTCAGTTGAAGTCCCCAGACTTGGCTGTAGCTAAACACCAAACCCCTCTGTGGGAGCCTTAAAAACACCTTGACATGTAGCAAATAGAGGACATGGGGGGGAGGGGAAAAAGAGAGGGCAGCACAGGCAATGGTCAAAGCTCAGATGCATGGGAAATACCCAGGGTATAACATAGGCATCGCTATGCCTAGATCATCCCCAACCAATCCTGTCTGACCCCTTCTTGAACACCTCCAGTGATGGAGTCCACAACTTGGCTAGGAAGTCAGTCTATTCCACTGTCTCACAATTCTCACAGTGAAGAAGTTTTTCTGGATATCCACTCTAAACTTACTTCGCTGCATACTTTGCTTCAAGCCATTGCCCCAAACTCTCCTCTCTGTAGCAAAAAAGAAAAGATGCTTTCCCTCTTCTTTATGGCAGCCCTTCAAGTATTTGAAGACTGCCGTCATGTCCCTTCTGAAGTGCTTCTTCTGCAAGCTGCTCCTTCAGCTTTCCTTATGACTTGTCTTCCAAGCACCTAATCATCTTTCTTGCCTGCCTTTGGACCCTCACTTAACTTTTCCATGTCCTTTTTAAAATGTGGTTCCCAGAAGTGCACATACTACTTCAGATGAGACCTAACCAGTGCCATGTAGAGAGACACTATCACCTCCCATGTCTTGCACCTAATACTTCTGCTGATGCCTCCCAAAACCATCTTCACCTTTTGTATGGCTGCATCACACTGCAGACTCATACTGAGTCTGTGATCTACCAAGGCTTCCAAATCCTCTTCCACAGCATTTCCATCCAGCCAGGTGTCACCCATTGTGTATTTGATACTCCTCCCAACCTGTAGTACCTTGCATTTGTCCACATTAAAATTCACCTTGTTGGCTCTAGCCCAACTTTCCAAACTGTCAAGTTCCTTCTGAATTGTGCTCATATCCTCCAACATGTGTACAGTCCTTTCTAGCCTCGCGTTGTCCGCAAACTTGTTCAAGAAGCTTTTTATGCCAGCATCCAAATTATGAACACGTTGAATAGTACTGGGCCCATGACAGACTCCTGTGGGACTCCACATAAAACCTCCTGCCATTTTGGTATGGACCTGTTATTACCCTTTGCTTGTGGTTATCTATTCACCCTGTAGTAGTTATATCCAGCCCACATTTCTCCAATTTGTTTAAGAGAAGGTAATGCAGGACCATATCATAAGCCTTGCTGAAGTCCAGATACACTATATCCACAGCATTCCCTCCATCCACCCAAGTAGTTACTTTGACAAAGAAAGAGATTGTTTGTTTGACATAATTTGCTTTTCAAAAAATCCACATTGGCTACTTAGGATGAGTCTTTCCTCCTCCAGATACTTGCAATAACCTTCCTTAGGATATGCCCTAGTAACTTCCCAGGTACTGAAGTGAGACTAACCATTCTGTAGCTCCCCTGGTCCTCCCTTTTGCTTTTTTAAAAAAAAAAAAAGCACTGCATTGGTGTCTGACCTGTCTCCCACAACTTCATGAAGATTATTGCCAAGGGCTCCGAGATGCAGTTCATCTGACCCTGATGACAGATTCATTCAGACCCAACAAAAGCTCTCTGACAGTCGTCTTTTTTTAAAATCTCCCCTCTCAGCATGTCCCCTTCCTTATCCAGATAACCCTTATTAGGTGCATGACTGCAGCTTAATATTTTTGTGAAGGCTGAGGCAAAGTAGCTGTTCAACAGATCTGCCTTCTTTGCATCTTTGATTAGGAGTTCCCCCAGATTTGTCAGCAGAGGACCCACACCTTCCTTGGTCCCCCTTTTCTGGCCAACAGACTTACAGAACTCCTTCTTGTTGTCCTTACACTCCTTTGCCAGGTGTAGCTTGTTCTTTGCCTTCCTGCTTTTGCCCCTGCAATTCTTGCTGTTTCCTGATATGTGTCCTTGGTGACCTGCCCATTCTCCCATTCCCTGTATGCTCTGAATTTGAGGTGTTTTAGAAGTTCCTTGTGAAGCCACATTGGTCTCTTGCCATTCTGTGTGTGCTTCCATTGTGTCAGAACAGTTTCTTGTTGGGTCCCTTTAAAAGCTCCCAGCCCTCCTGGGTGTCTTTAACCTTCAGTCTACTCTTCTACAACATCATGTCTATTAATTCCTCAAGTCAAATGAAATCCACCTTTTTGAAATCTAGCATCCTAATTTTGCTGACCTCATGCTCTCCCTATCTCATGATCCAGAATTCTATCATATCATGATTGTTTCCTCTCAAGTTACTGAACACCTTCACATCTTCCACCAGTGGTGTCCTGTTGCTCAAGACAAGATTCAAAAGAGATGATCCCCTAGTTGTACCCTCCACTTTCTGGAACAGAAAGTTGTCCTCCACACAAGACAGGAACTGGCTTGACATTTTATGTTTGGCTGCTTTTTTCTTCCAGCAGATGTCTGGAAAACTGAAGTCTCCCATCAGTACCATCCCATAACTTTTGGATAGATTTGGCACCTGCTTGAAGTGTGCCTCCTGCATGCCCTCTTCCTTATTTGATGGCCTATGATAAATTCCCACCATTATATCTGTGCTGCATCTTTCATCTTCACCCAAATGCATTGTTTTGCTGTCATCTTCCTCCTGAGCCAGGGAGCAAGCTTATGCATTTTTGACATACAAGACAACACTGTATCCTTTGTTTCAGGATAGGGTAGAGAGAAAAGTGTAACCTTTGATGTTGACATTCCAGTCATAACGGCTGCTCCACCGGTTCTCTGTAACAGCAATCAGTTTACAGCCCTTTTCACAGGCTTTAGCTTCCAGCTCATCTTGTTCATTCCCCACACTTCTGGTATATGTATACATGCATCGGACATATTTTGCATTTTGACCTACTCATTTCCCTTTTGTACCACTTGTTGTAGTGCTGTAGATTTCTGGCCCTTTCCTGGAGGTAAGTTGCTTCTTCAAGTCCTTTCCCCTGTAGACTGTGTGCTTTGTCACTGGGGGGTTTTGATCATCATTCCCCATGGAACCTAGTTTAAAGACCTCTATATAGATACAGATATATATAAAAGCTCCTTTCATTTGTCTATAAGGTGCCCTTATGAGCTTCAGCCCATGAATGCTTAAGCTATATGCATCTCTCTATATAGCTATATCTATTTATATACACGTGTACATATACAGAATGCCAGCTTCACAAGGGCTTCATTAAAAAGTGCTAGCCATTAAAGCTTTTAAAAACAATTATACACCTCTCACTATAAAAGAGTTATAAGAATCCAAGTCAAGCAGATGCAGCAGACCTGTAAATCAAATAAAACCATTTACCCATCATTGTTGCTTCCTTTAAGAATTTGTAGCTGGTTTCAAATGTCATCTGCTGCAGTGGTGAGGAGCTGGACTGTATTCCATAGCGATTCAGTGGTTTATAAACACCTTCAAAACACATGTAATCTGCCACAAGAGAAAGGTGCCGGGGGTTTATCACGATACCTGACAACACAGGAAGAAGGATCATTAGAGCATGTAGAGGCTAAGACCCAAAAGATCCATCAGCAAGGTAAACCTCTCGAGTCTCATCAATGTGGTCTGATACAAGTCAGGTCACTAGCAAAAGTCATGCTTCTTCCTTTCCATACTGGCAAAACCCAATCTCTGCCAAATCAAGGCTGCAAGACCTCATCTTAACAGAGAAACAAAAATGTCAATAGAGCTTCAGTTATGTGCGACTTTTACTATGTGTGCCAAGTCTTTTGGAGTAGGAGTATATCTGAAAACAAACAGTAGTCTCTGCATCATTTTCATTCAGACAGAATCTGAGAACTCATTTCAAGTCCATCTCCTCCAGTGTTGAACCCCTTTACACCTCACGTGGTAAATCGGGTACTAGAGTCAATTTGGCTTTGCTAAGTCAGACCTTTCTGGGCCTGCAGGGGAACTTGCGGACTTTATGGCTGTAGATGTACAACACAACATTTGTGCAATGTGATGAAACTTGCTCACAGCCTCTACCAGATACTCATCAGCTCTGACAAGTATAAAGAAAGTGCAGCAGTACTAGAAATGGGAATCTTGGTGAACAATCTTGGTGACTGCAAAGTTATTCACCAGCCAGCAATCCAAAACTTGGCATTCCATCTTTTCACTGACTGTAGTGCATAGTAAGACATGATCTCTCTTTAAACTCAATTTAATACAGTATTGTATTTCTACTCTTACACTTGATACAGTACTGTAGCTTGTACCTTTTGGTACTGTATATTGCTCTTTTTTAGGCTATTTAAGGTAATACTGTGTACATTTTCCATCTTAATGAAACTCGAATGAACCATGAAACCAAACAACAGTTGATCTAAAAAAAAGCATCTTACCATACACGGCAAATACATCTTTAATTTCCTTTTCAATCACCCTCAGGGCAGCCTCGATTCCGTAAGTTTTAGCCATCGCATGAATGTCATTGGAATAAAGCCTGCTTAAGTCCAAGACCTGGAGGCATGAAACCAATTTAAGGAAGTTGGTGCTATAGTTGTGTACTTTCCCACCTCCCCTAAACAAAGAAAATGTTTCTTTGTTTCCTGCTTTAGCTCAAACAGCCCCAACATAAGTCACCTGAAGTTAACAGAATCTGGCACAGCATTAGCTGCAGGGCAGAATGTGCAAGTGATCCTATACCCAAGTCAACTGACTGCAGTGTCATTTATATCAGGAGGAATAAGGGACTGAAATTAAGCAAGAATAAAAAGAGGGGAAGATCCCAACTATGAGACCCACTGAAATGTGGTATCATGTACGGGCCTTTTAAAATTCTGAAACAAAGCACTACAGAGTATACTGTCTGAAACAACCCTGTACTTGTGGAGAGGGCCTGGATGGCATAACAAGTCTATTCATCTGTAACTACTGAAATTCATTTACATGGAAGAACTCCCTCAAATAACATCTGCAGAAACAGTTACAAGCATGGTGTGGATTGATCTGCCATTATCTTGGTAAGATGATACTCCATGTTTCTGCACAAAAGCCCATCTGAAGTGACAGGAACATGACAACGTACACTTGAGAAAGGCATTGCGCAAACATTTTGAACTAGCTCGAGGCTCAAAAGTGCTGAGGTGCCCAACTCCAACTGAATATGCATAGGGGGCCAAGAAAGGAATAGCTTCCCACCTCCCACTATTTTCCTCTATCAAACATTACACCATTGAAGTCGCAAGGATAACAATGCATACATCAGAATATTTAAACAGTTCAGACAGGTTTATTCCCTCGGTGTTCAAAATAAGCTCTCTCTCTCCTTTCTTGTTGGTGCTTTCATTTAAGAAACATCGCGTGATCCCCTTTGTCTCATGGACAACTGTATTTTGCATGAGGGACTCCAGGAAGGAGGAGAGATCAAAGTATGCCTTCATCAGAGGAAGCTTCAGGGAAACCTAGGAAAGAAACCAGGACAAGATCAGGCTGACTGTGAGGAGGCAAGAAGGCTTAGCATTTGCTTCAACCACCAGGCCATTTTTTCCTCAAGGTAAAAAGTCACTAGAATCAAATATATTTATCTTAATCTCCATATGTTAAGAAATGTACAGCTCCTCATACCACTTCCAAAAAAACAGTATAAAGAAGAAACAATACAATCCAAGCCAAATTGAAAGGAAATGCAGTTCAAGTTCAACAAATATGCTTTTTTTTTTTTTTTTTCCTTTTTGGTACAACAAAATCATAATGTTTCATTTTTGGTTAATAAGAAACATTTCATTTGTCCAGAAACAAGATATTCTGGGGAATATTTCTGGAGGTTAGTCAACCCTTAACATCCTAGGTTCATTTTTTTTTTTTTTTAAGTGCCAAAACATCCTCTGGAAAATGTCACAATTGAGATATTTTGGAATTCCTGAAATCTACCTCCTTGCACCTTTTTCAGATCACTGGGGTCCCCAAATTCATAGTTTCTGTCCCCATGAATCTTCAGTTTCTGGCAAATTCACTATTTGTGGAAAGAAAAAAATTCAGCTACCTGTCCTCCCATCTCAATCAACATGCATCCTACTTTGTTCTTTGGAGGATTACGCAGGATTCCCTTTTTGCACATATACAAGTCTACTGCTTCCCAATTTCTTGTCCTCCTGCACTGTACCTCCAGACAGTTTGCTGTGGCAGATTTGCCTTTTCACCTCATATGGTCAAGCAGCTAGAGAGCTGCCTATTAATTCAAAAGGTGAAATTAAGAATGAAAACTTGTCAGTCACCTTTAGGAAGTCCCAAAGTCTCCAAGAATTTAAAATTCTGTGGCAGAAAGTCTGCTTACATCTTTGAGCTGCAATAGGTGTCATATCTGCACAGATTATAAGGGGAAGCTGACATAAAAACAGCACCATTTCGTTGAAGACTATTTATTATGGAAGCTGTGCACTGTCATTTTGTAATCTTCACACAAAATATTTCCCCATCACCAGCCTCTTACCTCACACCAGAGCTCATTTTCTACATCGTATTCGTAATTCTCTATGGAGGGATGACTGCTCACTACAGAACTGACTCTTAGCTCTACTGATGCGTTTTGTTTAGGTGTTTTCTCTTTCTTAGACAGAGAACTAGAGGCAGAAAATTGAGAATCGTCCTCATGGCACAATACATTTGAACCTTCTTCAGACTCCTCAGCCCTTTTATCATCAAGCAAGGGACCTTCTTCATCTTCTGAATTTTCATCACCGTTTTCCTCATTCACCTCTTCCTCACTCTCATAATCAACCTGCAGAAGAAAACACAAGCTCATACTTATAACCTCAACCAAATGCAAACGTCTTCAAAGCCCCTTGGTATGCAGTTTTATTCCCCCAAATTCCTCACTGTGGAAATGAGCTCCCTGACAGGTTCACGTAACCTTTAACGCACTGAAAAATGCTGTTTTTTAAAAAAAAGACAGTGATACGATAGATTTATTTTAGTTTCAATTCCTTTGCAGTTATGAAAGGATTTGTCAGCATGTTCCAAGTTAAACTTCAGGCTGCATAAATAACACATCATAACACAACCAGGCAAAAGGTAGCTGTTTCCTCAAGGATCCTGGGGATAATCCAGTGTTTTGATGATAGATGCTAAAGGAACTCCCTATATTTTAACTGTTCACCTTCCTGCTAAAATGGTGGCCACCCACTTTTTAAAATCATATGTTCTGTATGACAGATTATTCAGTACAAATCACCCAGGAGCAAGTGTACTTAGTGCTGTAGCAGGATAAGTAAAAGCAATAAGACAGAATTCTGAAAGTTAATTTTTGGCTGAATTACAGGGAGAATAAAACCTGCCCACCAGAAGCCTCATTTCTGAATCAGAGAACAGGCTATACCATGGGTCAGCAACATTTTTGGCTTGAGTGCCCAAAACACCCGCAACCTCAATTTGTAAGATGTTGAGTTGCCAGGGGCAGATGGCAGGGGAGCCGCAAAGGGCCCAATCCGTGTTGTGGCAGTGAAGTCCCGGCCCCTATCCCACCACCTGCCTCAAAACATGCAAAATGCCTTCGCATGTCACACTCCAGCATCCAGGCCAGGGGTTGCCTAGGGAATTTAGCAGTTTTTTGCATCCTGCAGCTGTACACAGAATTAGCTTAGATGATCTTTCAGGTCCCTTTCTATCTTAGTCTCTCTCCCCCTTATTTGTCAGCATGTTCCAATCTTAGTCTCTCCCCATGAGCTGCAAGCGACACTCAAAGGGTTAGTATGCGGCCTGTGGGCTCCTGCTCTCCTTTCATTCGTCTCCCCACAGCTGCTCCAGCCCTAGTGACCAGGATGGGGCTGGAGTGCCTGAGGTACATATGCAGCAAAGAAGGGAGCACAGGCAACCCAGCTAGGTGGGCTGGGGGAGAGGAGGGAGGAGGAAGGAGAATGGGTTGCATACATGACACAGTGCTGAGAAAGGGTGGGAGCTAGGCTGGCCACACAGTGGGTGGGAGGTGGTGGGGATCTGTCTATCATGCAGTTGTGACCGGAGCCTCGCGAACAGGCTGCACAAACAGGCGCGCTTGCTTGCCGGCATGTGAGTTAGCGAGGAGTTTGCACAGGAGGGTGCACGGGAGGGCCCGAGACCCTGCCTGCCAACCCCCCAGGGTAGACAGTCCCAGCCATAGCCAGCCTACCACAGGCATGACACGGATGGGCACGCGTCACACCCTGAGGGTCCCCTCGGGCTCTGTGACCCCCCCCCTCCCCTCCATCGGGCACCTCAGAGACGGCCACCCAGACGGAGCCCATGGTTCCAGGCTCCACGCAGACGGAGCCCCTGGCTCTTGGCTGCCTGTCCCTTTTTCAGGCTCTGGCGGCTGGAAGCATGGCCACCTCCCCGTGTGGGGTCTTGCTCCCTTTTGGGGTCTCTGGACCACCAGCTGGAGGAGCTCCAGGCCACAGTCCAGGGACTGCGTGCCATAAGGGACTGTGAGCAGATCAACTCCTACTGCCAGGCCCTTCTCCCCTGGGAGCCGGAGGGTAGAGCACCGTCTCCCTCCTGGACAAAGGAGGACTCCAGGACCTCCCACTCTGTCCAGTCAAGGGCATGGACCAAGGTGGTCAAGGGCCCTAAGGCCCGCCGCACCAAGGCCCCTGCCCCACCGGAGGTTTGCAACAGGTACACACTTCTTGCTGCTCCAGCAGAGCCTGCCGAG